GTTACCGCACTCCTTTCCCTGTGAAGGAGATCATCCAGCGTGCCGAGGAATGGATTGGCATGGAGGTGCCATACAATGTGCTTAACAGCAACTGTGAGCACTTTGTGACAGAGCTGCGCTATGGTGAACCACTCTGTGAGCAGGTGAGTGTCAGGGGTGAGCCCTGGGTGCCTCCCAGAGCAGCTCCTGGCTGCTGGCTGTGAGCCGGGCACTGGGACACAGCCTGTAGCCTGCAGGGCACAGCCCAGTGCCAGGCGTGGCCTCCAAAGCAGCGCTGCCTCCCCAGAGCCCCTGCCCCTGCAGGCTCCCTGTGCTCTGGCTGCACCCTGGCAGTGCCCTCTCCCTGAGTGCCACCTCCTGGGGGGACAAACCTGGCTGCTGCCCCTTCTTCTAATGGGGCACATGGCTGTCAGTGATTTATTTACTCTGAATATCCCTGCCTTTTCCAGATTATCATCCTAGAGTGTTGTAAATATAAATATCCCTCATGTTTCCAGCCTGTGTTTTGTTTTCCCTTTTATAGGTCAGTAAAGCAGCTACTGGTAGTGCTGCCGCAGCAGTAGGAAGTATCATTCTTGCTGGAGCTGCTCTTGTTGGGATGGCATTGTCTGAGAGCACATCCAGGAGATAGTGCCACTGATGGGCTCTCAGGCAGAGCTCTGTCAGTCAGAGTCCCTGGGCACAGCAGTCACTGGCCAGCTTTTACAACATCTGCCATCAAGGCTTCCTTGCAATCCTGCCACCCTTGCTGCAAACAGTAAGCAATCCTTAATAAAATGTCTGCAATACAAAATTATATTGCCCTAAAATCCTCTTTTATCTGAATATTGTTTTGTGTGCAAGTTCAGCAGTCCAGCCTTGCTTCTCCCTGATATCCCATTGAGAAACAAAGTCAGTGTTTTACAGACATGCTCTAAATGTGGCATGATGGAGTTTTACTCACTTTTTCCCTGGCTACAAAGTGTACATTTCCCAGGCTCTTCTGACTTTCTTTGGGAGCAGTAGAACCCCCAGTGTGGGGAGGTTTGACAGGAAAACCAGTGGGGTCTCTCTCTATCAGCTGTTTATTCCACTGTACCATTGACGTTTTCTCCCATCACCTTGTAAGTGCAGTGGTTGCTGGCATTGGACCTGAATAAGCATGCCAGGGGATTTTTATCATCCCTTCCAACCCAACCCATTCTAGGATTCTGCTCTTTCAGTTTCCAAAAAAACACTGAGGCTTAAAGAATTGTGAGGGCAGCAAGGAGACTTTGCCTGCCAGAGCTGGGGCCATGGTCACTTCAGTGACCAAATGT